GTTTATATATACAAGTTCTCTTCAGGGAGACACGTTACCTTTGCGATCATGTTGACTACTTGTTGTAGCGGCGGAGTGAGTGATGTTGAGATGATGATGGTAAAGCTTTATATAGTGATAGTGAAGGTCGACCTTGACGGAAGTAGGTGGAGTGCCAACTCTGTGGGAGGAAGAGCAACAGGGAGCCAATCTCAGAGAGATTATTACTTATTGGCATTATGTAACACCGATGCTGCAAATGTTCAAATTTATTAAATGTATCCGCACGTTTGTGCTTGTATAGAGTAGGAAACTCTCTAGTGGTGACCAACTGTTAACTAAATACAAACTTCTTTAAATGAAAAATCAATTACATTTTTTTAATTGTTGGTAATATTTATACACTTAAGCGACAACTCATCGAAATAATTATTTAACAATGTATAACTTCTGACATGGTAATTGCTCATTTGATACTAACATTATATATTTTTAAATATAACAGTTTACAGGTAAATGATCATAGCATATACATACAACAATTTGCATACGATTGCCATAAATGGTGCCCCTTTATAACATACAATATTATGAATATTTTGTTTTAAAATAATTATTTTTTATTAGAATGACCCTTTTTGGGAGGGGGGGGGGGATACATACATGTCGAGAGGGTGCCGGGCGGGAAGTCAGTTAAGTCTGCGAACTCTTGGCAATGGAGTTTTACTGACTCGTCATGTTGGGGGAGGGGGGGGGGGGTTATCAAGTTAGATAGTTTACTAGTTAGCGATTTCAGTGTAGTTAGGCGTTTTGAGGCATAACTATAGTATTCCTCACAATGCCTAAAATATTCACATATTTTGTAAATAAGTGTGTTTTTGGCAAAGTTAAAAGGAAGTGTCATGCAACCCATTCTTTTGCTGCAGTTCTCTCTAGTAGTGTCATTCACAAATAAATTCAAAGACTAATATGTCACTTGATAATCGCAGCTGACTGGAAGACGATAATCATATCGCATAGTAATATAACAACCTGTCCTCTTAAAAATAATGTCGCTTGTGGCCGTTTGTCCGTATGGCCAAAAGTGAACGTAATTTGAAAATGAAAATAAATTTGGGATATTTTTTTCAACAACAGTAAGTTAAGAGTTCTCTGGTAGGTTAGGTGGGCAGGAAATTCAAAGTTTCAAAACGTTATGAAAAACGTTAATTGGAAGTTTCCTCTTCTAACCTTACCGAGTAGGCCGGACTACTCTAACAGAAAACGGAGCTTCACGTTACTTTTGTGAGTCGATTTCATTTCAAATTACGTCCACTTTTGGCCATAGCGCTGATACGAGCGAAAAACGACGATATTTTTAAGAGGACAGGTTGAATATAAAACGATGGCAGAAAATTTGTCATAGGTCATGATTACTCTTGAAAATCCATAGAGGTGCATTATACCCACACTTATATAATTTGTATAAAAACTGGGCGTAAATAACTGAAAATATTGAATGATAACAGCGTTATCCGGTGCATCAACATATGACGATAACTTTACTGTCAAGGGCTAAATTTGACATAATTGAAAATATTAAAATCTATAGATTGTTCGTTTACTCGACTTTAAACTTAATAAATTTTCAACCAAACAATACCTGTGTCATGGAGATAATAATTGTCACTAGTTTGCAATAATGCAAACTGAGACTGACTGAGACCGAGACCAATATTTACTTAATTTGAATTTTTGTATATTGAAGGTTGGGAATGCATCATTATAACTAAATGTATCTCAATTGGAAATTGAGATACAATTGAGCCATGTTGAGTGTGTTGTTGGAGTTCTGGGGATAGTATGATGGCTGGTACTGGGGCTTGAAGGTGAGTGGGAATGAAACGGGAGCCGGTCGGCCGAGCGGACAGCACGCTGGACTTGTGATCCTGTGGTCCTGGGTTCGATCCCAGGCGCCGGCGAGAAACAATGGGCAGAGTTTCTTTCACCCTATCCCCCTGTTACCTAGCAGTAAAATAGGTACCTGGGTGTTAGTCAGCTGTCACGGGCTGCTTCCTTGGGGGTGGAGGCCTGGTCGAGGACCGGGCCGCGGGGACACTAAAAAGCCCCGAAATCATCTCAAGATAACATCAAGTGATGGTGGTGTGGCTTTATACTCACCATCCTCTCTTAATAATAGATCATTTTCTCACTTTCATATTTCATGAAGCAGCAGGAACTCGTTGAAGTTGAGATAGTTCATCACATGAATAATCCTTTAGGAATAATATGCTCACAAGTATACATATTATATGGCAGCTGAAAATGTATTTTCGAACTAATTGCTAATTTATTGGAAGGTTAATTCAACATTGAATATTAGTTTAAATATTGGTAGCATAATAAACTAAAAGTCTACGAAGATTATGATTATCGCCTGAAATGAGGGATTAAAGTTCCTGGGAGCAGGTTTATCTTTATTGTTATAACTGCTAACTCAAGTCTATTTAGTGTAGTTTGCCTGTAGTAATACACTAATACATGGGAATCGTGGGAGTTATGGCGTGTATATGAAGGGTGTAAGACTGAGAATTTTGGAAACGCTGTTCGGCAATAAAGGACAAGGTAATAATGAGTATGTTTAAAAAGTTGAATGTAGTAAGTTTGGGAGGTGCTTCTATGAGTAGAAGTAGCAAATCATTCTTTTCATTGCATTTAGTTATTGGTATTAAAACCTACTTGTCTAAAACATGATTTCTAATTGGCATCTGATATTTAATTTCCTTTTAGACATAGCGAAAATAAAACTATTTTGAAAGACGATGAGTCACAATAATGTGGCTGAAAATATGATGACCAAACCACATAATCAGAAGAGGAAGAGATGACGACGTTCCGGTCTGTCCTGGACCATTACCAAGTCGTAAGCGAGGACTGACTTTACTCTTGATACTTCCACACGACTTATTAACAGTCCAGGACGGACTGAAACGTCGTCGTTACTTCATCTTCTGATATGTGGTTTTGTCTTAATAATTTTGAAAGGTAAAGTGTTAATATACATTGTGCTCTCACTCTGGCAGCCATTTTCCTTACGATTACAATGACAGTCACACGTCCAGCGGGGAAAAAGGGAAATGCATGGACCTTTTATTTTTTAGTTTCGGCAAGTTAAACAGCCAACTGGAAGTTCGACAAAACTCGTGTTAAAAATGTTTGTTTATCCCTTCATAATCTTGAAATTTTCACACAATTCAAGTATATAATTCAAGAATAATTAGAAAATGTCTTGTGTATGTTGGGCCCGGCCCCAAGCCTGGCCTCGGGTCGGGCTCGGCCCCAAGCCTGGCCTCGGGTCGGGCTTGGGGAGTAGAAGAACTCTCAGAGCCCCATGAAGCAGGTATATCCTTAAGTCATTCGCATATGACTGGCTCTTTTTGGTGTATACACTACATAATGTGATTTACTGATGAATTCTATATATTGCCCGTGTTATGATGTTATATTTTCTTCAGTAAGACATTCGTTTGTTATATCTCGTCGGTATGATATTCCATGCCGAAGTTCATATGTCAAATTTTGGATGATCTATTGACTTTGCCTGTATATACCATATCTTGGATTTATCGTGTATTACTAATAAGGATGCTACCATTTACAGGATATAAAAGATCGTCATTACTCTTGAAACTTTATTTGAATTACACGAAGACCTTAGTTACAAAGTTTCTATAGCTTTAAAACAGCTTCTTTAGATGCAGTTTCTATTCATAATGTCCCTCAGCCTCGTATGAGAGCTGGGACTCGTATGACTGCTGGGACTCGTATGACTGCTGGGACTCGTATGACTGCTGGGACTCGTATGAGACCTGGGACTCATATGAGGGCTTGGACTCGTATGAGGGCTTGGACTCGTATGAGGGCTTGGACTCGTATGAGGGCTGGGGCTTGTATGTAGGCTGGGGCTTGTATGTAGGCTGAGGCTTGTATGAGGGCTGGGGCTTATATGAGGGTTGGGGCTTGTATGAAGGCTGGGGCTTGTATGAGGGCTGGGGCTTGTATGAGGGCTGGGGCTTGTATGAGGGCTGGGGCTGGTATGAAGGCTGGGGCCGGTATGAGGGCTGGGGCTGGTATGAAGGCTGTGGATAATATGATGGCTGGTACTGGGGTTTGAAGGTGATGGGGGGACCGTACTCGTGGGGGTACTGGGCTTCGCCCTCATATTTTACCTCCGCCTGATACCCGTAGTCGTCCTTGGCAACGTAGTTCACCTGTTAGATAATTCTTAATGTTTAGAATTAGGCTATATAATTATAATCAGAATGAATTTTGTTAGGTAACTCATTATTTCGTTCAATAACATACATTTTGCAAATATTGAATTATAGAACAATATCAGAAATAAAAATATGATATCAGTGCATAAGATAATGCATATCTTAGCTTATTATACTTTGGTTATAATTAGTTATTAAGGTAATAGTGATCTTACCGTCTGTTTGCGGCCGTCTGGGAGCTGGACGGTGTAGGAGCCTGAGACAGTGTCTCCGTCAGACTGTTCGTTTTGTCCAAAGTCATTGCCGGAGTAGTCGTCCTTGACGCCATATTGGAAGTTGTATGGCATGCCATCCTGAAGTAAATTGTGGTTCACCAGTGTTAAATGTTAATATAATTGAGGATTACTTTATTATTGTTCATTTTATATATTTTTTGTGTAACACCGCTTGAATTTTACGTGATTACATGAGAGTTTTGAGTTACCTGTTCGTAGCGTGAGTGATGTGCTGGTGGGGAGTAGCGATCGTAGTCTTCAGCGACAGCCTCCCCCACCATCACCACCACCAGCAGCAACACACTGAACTGAGGGCAACACAAATTAATTACCCTCGTGTTCTTGGATTAAACAGAGATATAGTTGTAAATTGTGTCCCGCAATTATATAAAGTTATAGCAGTAAATTTCTAGGCTTTTTGGTTCATAATATTATGTTCAAATATACAAGTAATCATCAGTGAGATACGTTACCTTTGCGATCATATTGATTACTTGTTGTAGAGGCGGAGGAGTGAGTGATGTGGAGAGTACGATGGTAAAGCTTTATATAGTGATCGTGAAGGTCGACCTTGTCGGAAGTAGGTGGATGGCAAGCACTGTGGGAGCAGGACCAATTATCTCATGAGATATAATTACCTACTGGCATTATAACACCGATGCTGCAGAATTTTAACTTTATCAAATTTATCCGCAGGTTTGTACTCTAGTAGTAGGGTAGAGAACTCTAGTCGTGAGCATCTATTAACTAAATACAAACTTGCTTAAATGAAAAATCAGACAATTACATTTTTTTAATTTTATTTTTTTTTAAAGGCAATATTTATATACTTAAGTTACAACTCAAAGAAATAATTTTTTAAAATGTATAACTTCTGACTGATGATTGTGCATTTGATACTAACAGTATATATATTTTTTAAATATAACAGTTTACAGGTTATTTATCATAGCATTTACATACAACAATTGGCGTGCTACTGTTACAAATGGTGTCACTGTATGACATATAATATTAATAATATATTGTTTTCAAAATGAAATAAAATATTAAACTAATTAATGAAAAGGCGATTTTTGTGGGGGTTGCATATATGTGGAGAGGGTGCCGGCTGGGAAGTCACATTAGTCTGTAAACTCTTGGGAATGGAATTTTGTTGACTCGTCATGTTGGGGAAGGGGGTTGTGAAGATAATGTTAGTTTACTAGTGCGCGATTTAAGTGTAGCTACGCATTTTGAGGAATAAATACAGTATTCCTCTCAATGCATACAGTATATTATGTTCACCTGTTTTGTAAGTATGCTTTTTGGCAACGTTCAAAAGGAAGTGCAACCCATTCTTTTGTTGCACTTCTCTCTGGTAATGTCATTCAGAAATAGATTTATAGACTAATATGTCACTTGATAATCGCAGGCGACTGGTACACGATAATCTTAACGCACAGTACTCAGTCAAAAACGATGGCAGAAACTTTGTCATGGGTATTGGGTACTCTCTTACCTCCATAGAGATGTATTATAACCATACATGCCATTATTTGTATAAAAAACGGGTGAAATTAACTGAAATTAATGTATGATAACCACGTTATCCTGTGGATCAACATATGACGATACCTTTACTTTAGGGGTAAACTTGATATAATTGAAAATACTGAAATCTATGAATTGTTCGTTTGCTCGACTTTAACTATATAAAGTAAAAAAAAATACCTGTTTCATGGAGATAATAAATGTCACTAGATTGCAATAATATTATTTGTTATTGTTGGAACGTGTCTATAATTTGGTCATGTTTACTTTACCCTAAAACTCTTTTATCAGTCAATTGTTACTGGAAATAAGCTGAGCCCAAATTAGCAATTGTCATTTCAATGTAAGATATAAAGCGTAAATACTATGAAGACATGTTCACATTTTCCGTTACCGAATTTTGTTAAATTAGTAAATTCCTTTGAACATATAGAAAGAAATATTAAACTTGCATGAGTTTATTCATTCTAACAACATAACAGTGAGTATAAATTCTTTTCAAAGCATAACAAATGAGCAACAACATTCATAAGTGGATTCCAGTGGGTAAGATGTTTATGGCTTGTATGTGCATGGTTGTTTGAGGACTAGTGGTGGTATGAAGGTCGTTGCTTGTAGTTGACAGGAGGTCTGTAATGGTGGGGATGGTGAGCCTCTCCGGTGTACTGAACATCAGCTGTGAAACCCTTGTTGTGGCCAGCCTCGTAATTCACCTGCCAATATATGCAGAATGTTAACCAGTAAGAAAGAGAACCCCCACTATTACATAATGAATTTGCATAAATATATTTTTTAATCCTTGGCTGAGACAAACGTAAATTGATGAAATTGACCACAGAACCACACTCCAGTTAATATCAATCGACTTTCAGAACATAAGAACCTAAGATAATTGAGTTCTGTGTTTAAATCCTTAAAATTGGGAAGAACTTATATATGCCTAGAAATACGTATGAAGTTAATTATGTCTTCATAGTATGCATTAATTAAATTTGTAGTAGTTTAGTGATAGTGACCTCATTGTGCCTGAGAATAGTGCACGAAAATATTAGGGAATAATATATATATATATATATATATATATATATATATATATATATATATATATATATATATATATATATATATATATATATATATATATATATATTTCGTTATTGCTTAATAAGTTTAAATTACATTTCTGTGAACTGTAAGAAATAAAGGTTAAGATTTCATATAAATTTTAATTCTTAAGACAGATGCCAACTTTTACTTGATACAAATTTTTGTATATTCGAGGTTGGGTATGTAACACTATCAACAACTAAATATCTATATCTTAAACTCATTTGGAAATTAGAAAGTACTAAAAACTAATATATTTGTTAAATTCGACATTTGATTAATTATTTGTAGAGCTGATTTTATCAAACTGTTAAAAGCACATACCGTCTGCTTGCGTCCGTCGGGAAGGTCGACATTGTAGGAGCCACGGACAGTGTTGCCATCGGAGTTCTCACTGTGGCCGAAGTTGGTGCCTGAGTAGTCGTCCCTAACATTGTACTGGAAGTCGTGCGGCATCCCCGGCTGCTGCAGTAATATATCACATTTATGATACTCAGTTTTGAACATGTTTACAAAAAATGTGTTTAATAAATACATTTTTGAAAGAAAGATTAGGTCCAATTATGTAGACGAAGAGTTGTTTAAAATTACAAACTAGAGGTCAAATAATAAGGACATTACCTTGTATCGAAAACTATGGACAGGTTGAATACTGTAGGGGTCGGAGGGGGCAGCGAGAGCTACACCCAACACCACCACCATCAGCGCCGCCTGCAGGAGACCAGAGTTTTAGATGCGCTTATTATATGGCGAAAGTAATACGAAATATTTATTAGGTTTGATTTTATTGTTTGAGTGATTTGATTGGCAATAATTTTTATATTAATAAAAAAATAATTACTAGTAGTTTTCTTTAGTTTAATTTAAGAAATTTTAAATAATGTTATTTATGTGTTGGTTTATATTTAAACAAAAATTAAGTCATTAATCAGAGACATATTATATGTAAGTGGACACAAGTCATGGTAAGTTTAAGGTACGAACCATAAAAACCATGTTGAGTCTGTAGTTGGATGGTGAGTGGTGGTGGTGTCCAGTCCGCGTCTGACCTTATGCTCGCCATCCTCTCTCCTGGGCCTTCCAGTCCCCCCGCTCTCCTACACCTGTTGTCTTACTAATTCGTAAGCACCTCTTACACGGAGTTTAATATTTAAGTTTATTTTATGTTAATTATATATCATTTTCTCATTTTCAAAAGCCAGGAACGCTGTAGGAACTCGTTGAAGTTAAGATACTTATTGGTTAGATAAGTTAAACTATACTTATTTAAATGCAGCTGAATATGTATTGCTGACCTAATTGCTGATTTTATTGGAAGATTGATATAACATTGAATATTAGTATATTTAATTTTGGTTGAGTAATAGTTAAACCAAAAATCGAAAACTGTTGTAGATCATGATTATCGCCTGAAATGTGGGATTAATATTCCTGGAAGCAGGTTTATCATAATTGCAAACTCTGTTAGCTAAGTCTGATTTAGTGTTGTTTCGCCATTAATAATACACTAATTCATGAGAATCGTGAGAGTGATGGTGTGCATATGAAGGAAGTGATACTGAGGATTTTTTGAGGAGCAATTCGACGTCGACAGATAAGGTAAAAATGAGTACATTACAAAAGTTGTATGTAGTTTAGTTTGAGGCGGTGATTTTTTGAGTAGAAGCAGAAAATCATAATATTTATTGCATGCAATCATTGATAAAAATCTACTTGTCTAGATGATGGTTGGTTATAGGCAATTTATATTTAATTATATTTTTGACTGCAAATAAAATAATAAATGTAAACGAAATTCATGTTGAAAGTTTGCTTATGCTTTGATCATTTAGACATTCACCCAATTGAAGATAAATCGAATAATTAAAAAATTCTTGTATTCATAAGTGATGGTCAGATGACAGGCTCTTTATGGCGTATTCAGTAATGTGGGATTTGTTGACATATCCAACCAATTTTCTGTGTTATAGTGGTGCAAATTCTTCAGGGAGACGTTCGTTTGTTAAATCTCGTCGTTTATAATTTTGCTTCCCAAAATTCATGTGTCAAATCGTGGGTGATGTACTTCGCCAATATAACACATTGGATTTTTAGTGTTGTGCTAATAAGGATGTAAAAATTTGCAGGATATAAAAGCTCGTCATTACACAGAAGTCTTTATTTCAATTACACGAAGATCTAGGTTACAAACTTCCTATAACTTTTAAAACTGCTTCCTTAGAAGCAGTTTCTATTCGTAATGTTCCCCAGAATCGTATGAAGGCTGGGGCTGGTATGAGGGCTGAGGATTGTATAAAGGCTTGGTTGGGTATGAGGGTCGAGGATTGTATAAAGACTTTGTTGGGTATGAGGGCTGGGGCTTGTATGAGGGCTGGGGCTTGTACGAGGGCTGGGGCTTGTACGAGGACTGGGGCTTGTACGAGGGCTGGGGCTTGTACGAGGGCTGGGGCTTGTACGAGGGCTGGGGCTTGTACGAGGGCTGGGGCTTGTACGAGAGCTGGGGCTTGTACGAGGGCTGGGGCTTGTACGAGGGCTGGGGCTTGTACGAGGGCTGGGGCTTGTATGAGGGCTGGGGCTGGTATGGTGGCTGTGGATAGTATGATGGCTGGTACTGGGGCTTGAAAGTGATGGGGGGACCGTACTCTTGGGGGTACTGGGCTTCGCCCTCATACTTGACCTCCGCCTGATACCCGTAGTCGTCCTTGGAAACGTAAGTCACCTGTTAGATAATTACTAACGTTTAGAATTATGGTTATATAATCATAATTAAAATTTTGGTGTAATTTATTATTTCGTTCAGTAATATACATTAAACAAATATTGAATAATAGGACAATATCAGAAATAGAAATATGATATCAGTGCATGGGCTAATGCATTCCTTTGCTTAATATACTTTGGTTATAATTACTTATTAAGTTAATAGGGATCGTACCGTCTGTTTGCGGCCGTCTGGGAGCTGGACGGTGTAGGAGCCTGAGACAGTGTCTCCATCAGATTGTTCGTTTTGCCCAAAGTCATTGCCGGAGTAGTCGTCCTTGACGTCATACTGGAAGTTGTATGGCATGCCTTCCTGATGTAAATTGTGGTTCAGAAATGTTAAATGTGAATATCTTTGGGAATTTAATATTGTTCATATTAAATATTTATATTTTAACACCGCTTGAATTTTGTATTGATAACTTGTGAGTTTTGAGTTACCTGTTCGTAGCGTGAGTGATGTGCTGGTGGGGAGTAGCGATCGTAGTCTTCAGCGACAGCCTCCCCCACCATCACCACCACCAGCAGCAACACACTGAGCTGAGGACAACACAAATTAATTAGCCTCGTGTTCTTGGCTTAAACAGAGATATAGTTGTAGAGTGTGTCCAGCAATTATATAGTGATATAGCAGTAAATTTCTAAGCTTTTTGGTCCATAATATTGTGTTCAAATATACAAGTAATCATCAGTGAGATACGTTACCTTCGCGATCATGTTGACTACTTATTGTAGAGGCGGAGGAGTGAGTGATGTGGAAAGGATGATGGTAAGGCTTTATATAGTGATGGTGAAGGTCGACCTTGACGAAGGTAGGTGGAGGGCCAGCACTGTTGGAGGAGGATCAACTGGGAGGCAATCTTATGAGAGATAATTGCCTATTGTCATTATGTAACACCGATGCTGCAAATGTTCGACTTTATCAAACTTTTTCCTCACGTTCGTTCTTGTATAGTATAGGAAACTCTCTAGTTGTGAGCATCTGTTAACTAAATACAAACTTGCTTAAATGAAAATCAAACAATTACATTTTGGCTATTATTTTTAATTAAAGGTAATATGTGTATACTTAAGTTACAACTCATCGAAATAATTGTTTAACATTGACTTAATTATTTAACAAAAGCTTTTGACTGATTGTGTATTTCATACTAATATTATATATTTTTTTAAACATAACAGTTAACAGGTAAATTATCATAGCATTCTCATAAAACAATTGCGAACGACTGTCATAAATGGTGTCACTGTATGACATGTAATATTCATATTTTGTTTACAAACTAAAAAAATATTAAACAAATGAGAAGGCCCCTTTGTCGGGGAGGGGAAGAGTTCACCCACAAATACATAACGAGAGGGTGCCGGGTGGAGAGTCAAGTCTGTGAACTCTTGGCAATGGAATTTTGTCGACTCGTCATGTTGGGGGAGATGGGGTTGTCGTGATCAAGTTAGTTTACTAATTCGTGATTTCAGTGTAGTTACGCATTTTGAGAATCAAATACAGTATTCCTCACAATGCATACAATATAATTTGTTTACCTATTTTGTGAGTAAAATATGTTTTTTAGTAACGTTCAAATGGAAGTGTCTTGTAAACCATTCTTTTGTTGCACTTCTCTCTGGTAATGTCATTCGGAAATAGATTCAAAGACTAACATGTCACTTGATAATCGCAGGCGACTGGTGCACGTTAATCTTATCACATAGTAAATCAATCAAAAACGATTTCCAAAAAATTCTAATGGGTCACGGTTATTCTCTTACATCCATAAAGATGTATTATAACCATACATACATTATTTGTTTAAAATCGGGTGAAAATAACTGAAATTAATGTATGATTTACAATAACTAAAAAAAAAAAAACTATCGTAGGCCTTTCACATTTTTTTGGAGACAGAGCCTAGATACTGGCATTATCCCTGACATTCTAAAAACAGCAGAGAAGCACCACTCCATAAAAGAAGAAATAAGGCAGAAGCAAAAAAATTCAGATCGATAGCACTAACATCACACATAAAAATCTTTGATATTGTTAAGAAGTAAGATCACAAAATACATGGAATCATACCATCTTCATAACCCTGGACAACGTGATTTCAGAACAGGGCGCTCTTGTCTATCACAGTTGCAGGATAACTATAACATGGCATTAGAAGCCATGAAAGACAAACAAAACGCTGATGTAATTTACACAGATTTCGCAAAAGCCATCGACAAATGTGACCATGGTGTTATTGCACACAAAATGCATTCAAAAGGAATTACCGGAAAAATAGGCAGATAGATCTACAATTTCCTAACTAAAAGAACCCAATGTGTAATTGTCTACAAAATAAATACCGTTTCATCAACCGTGAAGAGCTCAGTCCCTCAGGGTACTGTTCATGCTCCAGTACTTTTTCTCCTCATATCGGACACAGACAGGAACACAATTTATAGTACTGTATCAACCTTTACTGATGACACTAGGATTTTTATGAGAGTAGGCAACATAGAGGACTCTGCAAACCTCCAATCAGATGTAAATTAGGTCTTTCTATGGGCTTCAGAAAATAATATGATGTTTAACGAAGGTAAGTTCCAGCTACTGCGCTACGGAAAAAATGTAAATATAAAAACGGAAACCACATACAAAACGCAGTCAAATCATGACATAGAACAAAAAGGCAATGTAAAGGATTTGGGTGCACTCATGTCGGGAAGACCTTACCTTTTAAAGAACACGATAACGTAGCCGTCACATCTGCAAGAAGAATGACATGTGGGATAATAAGAATCTTTGTCGCTATACTAATGATGATACTTTTCAAAACACTGATGCTCTCTAGAGTGGAATGCTGTTGTACAATGACAGCCCCTTTCAAAGCTGGAGAAATTGCTGACCTGGAGAGACCTGGTGTGCAGAGATTCTTTACTGCAAGAATCCACTAAGTAAAACATCTAAACTATTGGGACGGACTAAAATGCCCAAATCTCTTCTCTTGAGCTCAAGTTGGAGAGTTTCATAATAATTTACATGTGGAAAAAGGTAGAGGGGCCTGCACAAACTTGCACACACACAAATAACACCACATGAGACCAGAAGGCATGGCAGGATGTGCAGAATACCCCCGTTGAAAAGGAAAGTTGCAATAGGTACTCTGAGAGAGAACACTATCAACATCAGAGGCCCGAGACTGTTCAAAACGCTTCCACTACACATAAGGGGCATAACTGGCCGACCCCTAACAGTATTCAAGAGAGAACTTGATAAGCGCCTCCAACGGATACCTGATCAACCAGGCTGTGCCTCATACGTCAGGCTGCGAGCAGCTGCGTCCTGGTTGACGAGTCCAGCAACAATGAGGCCTGGTCCAGGACCGGGCCGAGGGGACGCTAAGCCCCGAAATCATCTCAAGATATCGTATGATAACCACATTATCCGGTGGATCAACATATAACGATAACTTTACTTCTAGGGTTAAAATTTATATAATTGAAAATAAAGAAATCTATGGGTTGTTCGTGTACTCAATTTTAGCTTCAGAAATTGAAACTAAAACAATACCGGTGTGAGAGAGAGAGAGAAGGATTGTCACTAGTTTATAATAATATAGTAGTTATTGTTTGAACGTATTTGATCTTATTTGGTAGAAACAATTTGATCTTGTTTGCTTTCCCCTAAAATCGTTTATTAGTCAGTTATGTAAATAATTTGAGCTCAAATTAGCTAATGACATTCCAATATAAGATATAAAGCGTAAATACTAAAAAGACATGTTCATCTTTCCCGTTACCGAATATTGGTAACAGCAAATTCCTTAGAACATATAGAAAGAAATATTAAACTTGCATGAGTTTATTCCCTCTAACAAAAGTGAGCAAAACGTATTTTCAAAACATAGCAAATGAGCAACAACATTTATAAGTGGTTTCTGGTGGGTAAAGATGTTTATTGCTGGTATGTGGTTGTGTTTGAGGACTTGTGTTGGTATGAAGGTTGTAGCTTGTAGTTAACGGGAGGACTGTTAGAGGAGGAGCCTCTCCGTTGTACTGCACATCAGCTGTGAAACCCCTGTTGTGGTCAGCCTGGTAATTAACCTGCCAATATATGTAAAAGATTGTTAAGTCAGAAAGAGAACATTATTTAATTACTAGTAGAAATATATTTGTTTTAACTCTTGGCTGCGACAAACTTTTGTTGATGAATACTGGACCACAGAACCCCACTGCAGTTATCATAAAATGACGTTTAGAACTTAAGAATCCAAGATAATTGAGTTATGTTTTTAAATCCTTAAAATTGGAAAGAACTTATATATGCTTAAAAATATACAGTATGAAGATAGTTATATCTTCATATTATGTATTAGAAAAATTAGAAGTATTTTAATGATAGTGGACTCATTGTGCTTGAGAATATTGAACGAAAATATTAGTTAGGCAATATATATATATATATTGCTTACCCAAGTTTAAATTACATTTCTGTGAACTTTAAGAAACAAAAGGCTAAGATGTCATATAAATTTTAAATCTTAAGACAGATGCCAACATTTACTTGATACGAATTTTTGAGGTTGATTAAAAAAATTTTGACAGATTAACATTTACTGAGGTTGAGTATGTACCATTACTGAGGTTGAGTATGTACCATTATCAAAAACTAAACATCTATATCTTAAATTCATTTGAAAATTAGAAAGTACTGAAACGAATATTTTATTTTAATTCGACATTTGAGTGATTATTTGAGGAGTTGATTTTATCACACTGTTAAAAGCACATACCGTCTGCTTGCGTCTATCGGGAAGGTCGACATTATAGGAGCCACGGACGGTGTTGCCTCGGAGTTCTCAATGTGGCCAAAGTTGGTGCCGTAGTCGTCGTCCCTAACATTGTACTGGAAGTCGTGCGGCATATCCGACTGCTGCAGTAGTATATCACATATATGATTCTCAGTTTATATCTTGTTTACGAAAAATGTATTTAATAAATACATTTTGGAAGAGAGAGATTAGGTCCAATTATGAAGACGAAGAATTGTTTAAAATTACAAACAAGAGGTCAAATAATAAGGACATTACCTTGTATCCAGAACTATGGACAGGTTGAATACGGCCGCGAGAGCTACACCCAACACCACTACCATCAGCGCCGCCTGCAGGAGACCAGAGTTTTAGATGCGTTTATTATAATATGGCGAAAGTAGTACAAAATATTTATTAGGTTTGAATTTAATGTTTGAGTGATTTGATTGGCTATAATTGTTATATTAATGAAAAAATAATTACTAGTAGCTTTCTCTAGTCTAATTTAAGAAATTTTAAATAATGTTACTAATGTGTTGGTATATATTAAAAAAATCCGGTCATTAATCAGAGACGAATTATACATAACTGGACACAAGTCATGGTAGGTTTAAAGTACGAACCACAAAGCCATGTTGAGTCTGTAGTTGGATGGTGAGTGATGGTGGTGTCCAGTCCGCGACTGACTTTATACTCACCATCATCTCTCCTGGGCCTTCCTGTCCCCCCGCTCTCCTACACTTGTTGTCTTACTAATTCGTCACCACCTCTTACATGGAGTTTTATATTTGTTTATTTGTTCTTAATAGAAAATTTTCTCATTTTCCTGTCAGGAACACCATAGGAACTCGTTGAAGTTAAGATACTTCATAATATGAATATTCCTCACAAGTATACTTATTTAAAGGCAGCAGGTTGTAT